AGTGGTAAGTGCGGTAGTACATTGTACCATGGAAGGTAGTAGGACAGGATAATACTATTCTCCCATGTTCCATGGTCGCTTTGATGTATTTACTTGATAACCATTCCCATAATGAGATTACATGAACAGTTAGCATTAAGCTCTGAGGCAGTCAGAGTTTTTCCAAAGTCACACAACATGACCAAATCACAGATCCTAGCACCATTTACCGTAGTTCACACACAATGTATTATTAAAGGTCAGTTTGTCATAAATTGACTGGTAACAAAATGGTGAAGCTGGCGAAAGTATTGTGTAAAAATCATGTATTCATGTTGCACATGTCATTGACTAATCTTATCTACGTGTCTGGTACAAATCTCCACTTAGACCTTTCAACAAGCAGCCTGTCAGCTGAGATAGCTCCACTGTTACAAAATGTAGCAATGCACATTTCAATTAAAGAACAAAAGATACCATTAGAAAATCAACAATTTGTATAGTATCAAGCAATGGGACTTGCTGTTTTTAACAAGAAGTCAAAAATATCACTTTTTACCAAAAGTTACGAAAATATTTTACAAAAATTAGAGAATTAAAGATATCATCACGAAATGAACAAATCTGAGAGAGGTCCACATGTAATACCTATATATGGATTATCAAAGAAATTGGACTTGCGTTTTTTAACAAGAAGTCGAAAATATAACTTTTTACCAAAAATGACAAAAATATTCACCAAAATTAGAGAATTGAAGATATCAACATGATATGTCCAAACCTGAGAGAGGTCTACCCAAGGTATCAAAGCATTCAGGCTTGTAGTTTTCAAGGAGAAGTCGAAAAAGTAAAACATTGACACGAATGACGACAACAGACAATCACTCATATGATAAGCTCCGCTCAACAAAGTTGACAGCGGAGCTAAAAAAAAACTTCATGAGACAACCTGATGTGTGTTTATTAGTTTTCAAACTGAAATAATTTTACTACGGGAATGGAGCAGTCCAAGTGTTTTGTTTCTAGTGGCATGCCTTGTCAATGAACTATGACATTATGTGAATCGTTCTGTGTATGTATACTGTTGCATATTTTCTGATGTTGCAGTCAAGATTTCTTTTCCAGTCACAAAAATCACGAGTCTAACCCATTTTGTTGATGATGGGTTGAAAGGAAAAATAGACAATGGTGATAAGACTTGAAACAAAAAGCTTGTAACAAGGGAAACAAAAGATATAAATCGGGTTAAAACTAGTCCTCTCTCCTGTCCTTTTAGTACTGAAGTTATCTGTGGAGCACCTATAAATTGGTTAATTTAAGCAAATTAGAAAATTATTAAGCACAAAATTCAACCTTTGTACTAAGTTTCATTAGTTTAATAGTACACGAGAAAAACGTGAAAAAGGCTTAAAATTGGTTAATTAATATGCAAATTAGGTCATTAATTTGTACAGAATTTCAACCAAAAAGCAATTTCTAAGCAATTTCCCAGAACATCTATGTACTAAGTTTCATCAAAATCTGATAATAGGTTCTTGAGATATCTGTAGAACAGACACACACACAGAAGCACACAGATTCAAAAAGGAATAATTAGAATAAGAAAAATGAAAAAAAAAAAATCCTATTAGATTTGATTTCAATCAGATTGAATACATATGTACTTACATGTGCATTGAGAGCATCATGAGTTTCCCTCTCTGATAACCCTCGTGTCAGATCTAGGAGTGTAGCATAGCCACGTTCCATACGCTAACAAAGCAAAAACAATAAAAACAATTACCTACAATAAATTAACATCAGGCTTTGAAATATGTACAACTCCTAAAATATATGCACGGGGGTTACTGTGCAAATGTCTTTAATCTGTCTTTGTTTGTGAATTGCTGGGGATATTTTGTTTATTTACCTTTGTGACATAAGATGTAAAGTTGTAAACCACGGGATTTATTTCCAGTGTCTTTAAAGATATGATATACAAAAGTTATGTTTTTCCCTCGAATATTTGGTTGTCGAATGTTGACCCAAATAAACTTCCAAAGTTTGTAGCAAGTAAACAGCGACACCAGCGTCGTATAAATGGCAGGATACCCCAGCAGCTGTGTAATTTCAGTATCGCCAATACTACTAGCATCGTACGGCGACAATCTAAAATTATACATACCTCTTCAATTTCATCTTTTGGGTCTAAGGTATTAGCGCTAAACAATCTTGATTTCGGTGGTTTTTCATCCATGTTGCAGCTGAAAGTGCCGGCTTATTAACGAAAACCTGAGAGCGAACTTCCGCACTCACGACTCTGCCATGGTACTGTCTTGTTTGAAGCCCCCCAAGACGTGCAAAAATGGCAATGCGGCGTTTGACTATATATCGATGTGATGGGTGGTCGCGTGTTAAGTGCACGTAGATTGGTCGGAATTTTTGGCATTTGCATACAACGAAGCAACGAACGTAAGACCTTATTATGAAAATTAGTGGTTCGCCATTGTTTTACATAGAACATTAAACACTAGAAAAATACTTTTCAAATTAGAAACTAGTCCTCAAATTATCAAAGACCTTGCTTAGCTTTTTTTGCTTTTTTAAATATTTACTCAAAACAAAATGGGATTACGTATTTATAATAACAAAGTACAAAACGTATAGTACTAATAAAATTAAATACACAGAATTAAAAGAAAAAATACACGCCATACAATACATCAGATTTTAATCAGATTGATCAAAAACTAATTCTTCAGCCAATCATGTGTGAACAGAAATGGAACCTCACTTACGATCAATAGTGCATAAAAATAGCCATTACTCATTTAGACATTATACTCAAATCTAATGAACGTTTCACTGATACAATGTCAGATTTAACAGGTTGGGAAGAAAACTCTTCATATTCTGAATAAACTAAAGTGCACTGAAGTAAATAACATAATCCTTACATTGAAAATATTTTAAACCAATTTTACTTTATAGTTCAGAAATCTGGGGATTAGAATTTCAAACTGTCTGTAATAGGAACAACAACTGACAAAGTAAATAATAAATGTAGCAAGTTTTACAAATAAACAATTGAACTAATTATTCAATCATGGAGAAAACAATTAAATAAAAAAGAGGGGAACAAACTTAGAACATATAGTATATTTAAACAAAAATTTGAATTAGAAAACTATCCGAATGAAATGAAAAACTTCAGCCAACGTAGAGCAAAGTTCACGCTCAGTGACCACAACCTTGAAATTGAATTGGAAAGGAAGAGTAAACCAAAAAAACCAGAAAATGAAAGAACTTGCAAAAAGTGCAATTCAGATCAAATTGAAGATGAAATGCATTTCATCTTAGATTGCAATTTCTATGAAGTAGAGAGAAAACATGTCTTGAAGTATTTAAAAATGACTTGTCCAGAATGGAAAGCTTTGTGAAAATAATGGGAAATAATATGGCTTTGTCATATTATTTAAAAAATACAATTGTCTAAAAGATAAATACGTAGCTGTGGTCTGGGAGAACCTTGCTGCTGTTTAATCAATGTTTCAGAGATTTTCTAATTTGTATTTCTTTCTATGTTGAATTTCAGTGTATTTTAATTTTAGTGTTTTAGTGTGTCTTTATTTTATTTGTCTTTTGTAATCATTTTTTTACCTTACTAAACCCACAGGTGGTTAAGTTGTGTAATAAAGTTATTATAATAATATTTCAGCATATGTGATAAAGCAATGCATAGAACGAATAATTATCAGGACAAATGGAGTATATAATTTACTGACGTCACATCAAGTCTCAAAAGTATTAGGGCAGCAAGTTTGTAATCTGCCCCGTGAGGCTTCTGAGGCTTGCTGTGACTGATTTCAATGATTATAGTAAACTCAAAATTTAATAAAAAACTCAAATAAGAGTCTTTATAACATCAGAGGTACATTATATACTGATAACATTTATTAATGTGCCTCTGATAACATAAATGGACAGTTTATGGCAGGAAAATATTTACAAAATTTAACATTTGTAACTACAATTTAGATAGAAAGATGAAGACACACTATTATGACAGCTTTAAATGAAATAATCTGCATATTATGATTTGTCTGCGCCATGAAGCAAAACCCTGGGTAATGTTATTTGGTGGCGCTCTGTACAATCCCACAATCCATTTCGAATGCCTAGGTCAAAGTTCGCACTTTACAGACGAAAACGAAGCGTGACCGTTCGTTAGTAAAAAATTGTTTGGTCCTGAAACCCATTGAATATTTCAATGAGATGTGGTTTGCCGAAGTTAATGAGGTCTTGGAGATGTTCAGGGGAAGTTTTCCCCTCTCATTCCTATTCTTCGTTCCCGTTTTAATCTTGATTTCGCCGTGTGCACCAGTGGTAAATGCAGCACACGAATTCACAGCGTATCGAATGCAGCAGTATGACTTGCACGGATCTCCCTACGGTATAGTAACTTATTTATTTTGTATGTCTCTGTCATATGTGTACCGTGAATTAACATTCATGTAAACAGAAAACCCCCAACTTCAGTGAAACACTACACTGTGCCGCAATATTTTACTGTACAAACAAGACAGCGACGTGTCCTTGAAGTGTCCTTTTGTCCAGATAACCATTCGTTCTATGCGGGCAGTGCATTGTCACATGCATCATTCATCGAAGCACAGTCCCAGTGATAGTGGGACTGTGATCAAAGCGAGTATTTTAATTTTAAGATATTATGTGGTTTGTCTATTGAACTAAGCCTTCATCACCTCATTATCAGTAAAGTTATACTTACTGAGGAATTACTGTTAAATCCAATGCGAGATTCAGTTATGTTGCACTGTAGCCATGGTGGTAAAAAGACTGTAGCCAAATATATTGGTATTATTAGAAATATAGACATTCAGCTAAGCATTTATATGATTATCAAACTCATTTTACTTCAATCAGAAGTGACAAAAACATTTGATTTTGTAAACTTATATTACAAATGCATCAATTGCATCAAAGGTGGGTCTCACTGCAAAATACAGGCAATAAAATACAGACTACAAATAAAGGAACAACTAGATGATCCAGGGTCACTGGAGGGACTGGATAATCTAACAAAACAGACTTAAGTGTACCTGGAAGAAATAAAAGTGGCTAAATTCAATAAGAATAACTCACAGAATTTCCTTCAAAGGAGAACACTCAGTAAAAAAAAAAAAATCAATAACATGTTAAAGATAGAAAATGTGTGAATTTTATAGGACTGAATAGTAAACTGAAATTTAAATATAATTTAGAGACATTTTAATGATATGAACGAGTTAGGTGGTTAAAAAATGACACTGTAGACACAATTTAGAAATTAAAAAGCAATCATAATTATAGAAAATTGTTGACTCTCGAAACCCAAAACCCCAGTAAAATAGGATATGCCAAAACTGATGTACATTTTTTTTTTGATTTGTCTAAA